TATATCTATACAGTATACATATAATAAGCAAACTAAGCCAAATCTGTATATTAAATATTTTTTTGGAGAATCTTATTGAAATAGACATTATTATCGATACAGAGGCCTAATCTAGTTTTTAGAATTTTCGTCTATCTGTCTGTCTGTGACAACATCACGAAAAAAGACTGCACAGATTTTGAGATGAAATTTGCTATGATGATAGCTGGTTATCCGGGTCAACATATAGGATACTTTTTACTGTGGGAAAATATATCATATCTGAGAAATCTATACTAAACATTAAAACGTAACTAGGAACGAACCCGAGCGTATCGAGGGTGAGTCGCTAATGATATAATAAATGCAAAAGGCACATAGGGATGCATGTACCTAAGCAAAGCGAGGGTAAGTCGCTCGTAAAGTAAAAAATCGAAACTCTTTCGCTATCTTTGTTGCTGCCAAGAAATATCAATATATTATTTCCATGAGCGTTTGGTAAACAATAATAAAATCAAATGCTCATTCGATGTGTCTCTAAGAAGCTTATCTGATTAATGAAATGGGATGAAACGAGGACATTTATATTTATAGAAGAGATACTAACTAAATTATATATAGAATATTTTTTTTGATATCAGGTATTAGAAATGTCAGGAACAAAAAAATAAAATAAAACTGAGAAAAAGAGGAAAAATATTTTTTTTTATATGTAGGAAAAAAACATTAATAATACACATATCAAAAACTAGCTAACTAATTACTACACTTTGTAATTCAAAAATTAAACCGACTTCAAATCGGCTTTATAATTATGGTAATATCTTAAGTGCTCTTGAAGTTATAGTGGGGTAAAATGGGTATAACTTATTTATAAAAAAATAAAATTTTGAAACTCGGAACCAATTGGTGAAAATTCAAGTATACGTTTTTTTGTGTATGCGATACATATATACATACATACAAACGCTTGTAGCCAACTTGGATATATCTATTTTGAAGTTGGTCACAAACGAGAAGGCATCCAAAACCTATATAATGTTTTATTCTAGTTTGTAAAAAATTTGAAATTAGATTTTTTGACATATATTTTAAAAGGCAGCACTTAAATTAAAGTTTTGCAACTCGGCTATGGCATTTTTTCCAAATGAAAAAGTTACATATCGTCGGCCTAATTCGTTAACCTGATAAGTGCATATTTTACAAGACGCAGAAAAAACTGAATTATATCATTTCATTTTTAGAAATCGAAATTCAGAAAATACCGTTGGTACCTTAATATTTTTCTAACTTTTCTATATTAAAATCGTCGTTATTCCTTTAACATAAAGTAGATAATCGTCTGAACTTTTTAACCGGCGTAAAAAGAAAAATTGGTCAAAAACGGACTTAGCAGGCCAACTAGACAGACGATAAAGAAATAAATTAAAATTGGCAGAATAATACAAGGTAGCAAGATAAAATTTCTAAAATATCAAGTGGAAATCAAATAAAAGAACCAAATTCTAAATCTTCCGGGAACACCCAGGAAGCCTTGTAAACTTCCAAAGAGTACCAAAAAATGATTAATTTTCTAATTTTCAAAAGTAATAACAACTGTAGCATATGTTATGAAAGCATGATATTTTGCTACAATGTGCAGATAGCCTCATATTAAAACAATGTCATTGCCTCTCCAAACATATGAGTTTTCCAATAAATGTCCAATATTAGTTACAGCAGAAGTTTCATAAATTGTTCTCTAGTTAGTTTTATTGGTTATCGTTTATTGCTTCTGACGTATACAAAAATTGACTTTGATTGTTCAGAACTATACTAGTGTTAGTTATTGTCTGAGATTTGTTTTATTATGTGATATATTTTGGTTGAGTGATGGGACTTGAAACGTTTCTTATTTTATTATTCAGTAACAATCTACTTTCATTTAATTCAGAACTAAGTACAATTGATAAAGTATATTCAATTTCGATATTCAATTATAATTTTAATGGAAAAATACACTTATGTTTTGCTAAGAACCAATAGTTCGGAAAAAATGTCCATCAGGTTAGTTGTTAGTTCTAATAATAATCTAATAATGACGACAATTTAATTTCATTACTTTTAATATATTATCTATACAGAAATCTACATAATGGACTAAGCACAAACATTAACAAACAATTAACATTAATGGGACGAGGAACTGTAGTAGGAAGAATGTGGTAGAGATACATACTGATCTGTAGGCCTCGCTTATTTTATTATTTACTAGCGACTCATCCTTACTTCGCTCTAGTTCGTCCCTAGGTACATTTTAATTTTATTGAGCGGAACCCTAATTCTTTTACTGAAATTAGAGTATCTTAAGTTACTCCTTATAACTTCAACTACCTGCCATTGAAAGTCCCATCAAAATCGGCCACACCATTTCGGAGATTGCGCAAATTTTGAACTACCTTACATTATAAATCAAAAAATGTCGAGACAGTAGATATAAATATTAGCCTACAAAAGAAAAAATCAGTCTAATTACCTGTCATGTTCAGGTACACGCATTTTAATTTTTCATTTTCATATAAGTGTACAATATTTACCTATATAATATTTTTTTCTTCTGTTATTAATTTTTTTTCTTGGTTGTAATAGTATTTATGTATCTCTTCTCACTTTTCATAATTTAATCTATACTGACATTGACACTATACTGACGTGATATTTGTTTGACTGTACTATCTAAACTCTGAATTTGCCATTTTATAGCCAAGAAATTTAAGAAATACATGTAGCCTATGCCTGCAGTAAAATATTCAGAGGCCTGAGTGATTATTCAAGACAGGTGGGTCTCGGGATGAATCTTGATAAGTCGTAAGTCATCGGTGGTCATAAATGACTCTGCTCTCAGAGTTGTGCAGGGATACGTATTTCTGGGTCAGACCATGCAGCTTGGTCCGTACAATTTTAACAAGAAGGCTAACAGAAGAATACGCTTCGACTAGCCGGCCTTTAGGAGACTGCGTCATATATTTGTGTCGTTCATCCCACATTCCCTTAAGACCAGGGTCATTAACCAGTGCGTCCTACCAGTAATGACATACGAAGCCGAAACTTGACCGCTCACTTAGGTCTGATTCATTGAATTCAAGATCCCTTAGCGAGCAATAAAACGTAGTTAGTAATACGGATTATAATATAATCGTATAATAATTAATAATATCACTGGCAAATAGAATTCGCAATGAAGTAATTCGATAAAGAACTAAAATAACCGATATTGGGTACAGAATTTGTACGCCAAAGTTGAAATAAGCCAGCCAAAATACCAGACACACAGATGGTCTATGGAGCCGACACATATTAAACACAAGTGCTATCTCTATTCCCGTCACTCTTATATTCCGGTGAGAGATCAGGCGCAAAGCGGTATCTTTATGTGCTTCAAGGCGTACGAATGTAACAACACACCTAACCCTGGACTTGATTCCAGGACAGAAACGGATCTACAGCCGTACACTACTACTACAGCTAGTTTCTAGAACAATGTTATTCATTGTTCAATACCATAGAAGGCAGAATAATAATTTACTTGAATATAAAAGTGGATATGACGTATTAAATGTAAAAAATGTACGTAGTGACGGCAGGAGACCGTTTTATTAAAGTCCCCATTTACCGAAATGGGATCATACGCTCGCCATTCTCTTTTTATATTGTTGGTCATTGACGCTGTGATTTAGCTATATTACTTTCTAAGAACGTTCATTTTAGATGATTATTTTTATATTCGCGTATTTTTTAAAGTTATGTTTCGCTTTTATTATAAGCTATGAAAATGGAATAATCGGTGGAATTGTCATGCTTAAGAACACCTAGTTTTCAATTTGTTGGTACTTGGAAATATTGCTCAAGAATAACAACTTCAACTCGAGAATAAATTCAAAGAACCTCTCGCATTAGCATTTTTAGTACAGTTATTATAATTTTTTTATTACATACTAGCTTTTCTGCCAGATCTTGTGTTGTCCACAACTTTGGGTTTCGTTTATAGAAATATCCTATTGAAAAAAGTACATTCGATTCTTTCCGAATTTTCTTTTGAACTCGGGAAAGTTTTTAAACCTCTTTTCCAATATATTTTTTCACCTAAAACCTTATCCTGACCATTTTATGAATATTTTAAAATAAAAATTAGTCACATCGGAATAGATAGAAGAAGCGGGCTTAAATCCTGGATCTCGCACCTGATATTCTCAAGTGCGAATTACTTCACTTCACATCAATCAAAAAATGTGTAGTCCGCCAACCCGCATCTGGCCAGCGTGGTGGATTATGGCCTGATTCTCCCATATTGAAAGGAGGTCCATGTATAGTTCACTCATCCATTTTTGAAGTGTTAAAATTCATAACAGCTGATGTATATCACTCCCCTAATAAATAAAATATGATAGGTAATTATAAAACATAATGATTCCATGTCACGCTATACATAAAAGTAATGTTATTATTGACTCAGTGTGAAAGGTGAATTTGTACTGTATAATAACGACATGGCTGGGTCTTTAGGGGTTGGTATTTTTTATTTGATACCATAAAATTTTATTTTCCATACAAAAGTTATTTTTTCTTAGCGTTAATAAACAATTTTAATGCTGTAGCTTTGGTCTAAGCTGTGAAGAAGTACTAAGGCTAAGCAAATTTATATATATTTTAGAATATCTAGGTGTAGAATAATTTAAATAAAATTTATGTAGTAATGTATCATTATAATTTATATATTTATATTATCATTAGTTACAAAGAAATTATTCCTACCATATGTAGTAAGCTTTTAGATATTTTTTAGGTTTCATGATACGAAATACGTTGTAAAATAAAAATTTAACTCTTTAACGATTACTAGCGTCTATCCATATTCTTCGTCTGTCGCGATTGATTTTTATATATTAAACGAAAAAAAAGTATATTTTTGACACAATAAACGTCCCAATAATAGTGCGAAACTCAATTTTATGTACTGTATATTAAGGTTTATTTTTATATAGCAGGTGTACGGGACGCAGTGGCGAGATACCCCGTGCTGGTATTTGTTCATGGTGAAAGCTACGAGTGGAGCTCTGGAAATCCATATGATGGGACAGTCTTATCATCTCACGCAGGACTTGTGGTAGTCACCATCAACTATAGATTGGGCATATTGGGTATGTATATTTTAAATGATTTTGTCCGTAATAAAAAAGTAATATTCCGAAAATTGAGTTGCGTTTAACGCAAGTACAGCGTAAATTTTTATAGATATAGAAATTACAAACTGTCTGAAATAGCTATAAAATCAAGACGTAACAGGTTAGATTATGATCAAGTTTTTGAATCATAATTTCTTCTAACTGCCAGGAAAAAAAATCACTTATTTTTGTATCTTAATATGTTGAAATAACTGCAGTAACATATGTAAAATTATATATATACATTATTATATATAGCGACTCATCATCGCTTCGCTCGGGTTTGTCCATAGTTTTTAACGTTTAGTATATATTTCTCAGAAATGAGATATATTCCCGAAGTAAAAAGTATCCTATATGTTGACCCGGATCATAGATTATTAGCTGCTTATTTATTTGGTATGATGATACCAAATTTCATCAAAATCTGTTCCAGTGGTTTCATCGTGATGCATTCCCAAACAAACAGAGAGGCAGATAGAAGGACAAAAATTTTTAATACTATAGATTCAGCTTTTATATCGATAATAATGTCTATATCGAAAAGATTTTACAAAAATATTTAATGTACAGATTTGATTCAGAATTTTATTATATGTATAGATTTTATAATTTAATTGTAACATCAGTGCATACCGTTTTCCCGTTCGCTTATTAACCGATTTTTGTATTTAGTAGCTTAGCTTAGACGAGCTTTAGTGCTATCAATAAAAATAATTTAATAAAAAAGATTATGGTCTAATATCGACCACTTTCGAACATTAGCAAGAACAAAAATATAATTAGATACAATACAGTAATAACAAAAATCAAATAATATGATATCTCTAATTTTGTTCAAACGAGCAAATGTTGCTATAAACTATTATATTATGCATATCAAAAGACGTTTACTGCCAGCTATGGTCACATTTCATTGGCTTTTACGAGCGGGTTATCAACATCGAGCTTATTTCATATACAGTTAATTAAATGAATAGCCAGTTTGTTTCTAGTTCGAAATCGGCGTTGATTTGTATCATCTAAACAACCCTTACATTTTTTAATTTAATATAGGATAATTATTTTTTAACTGCTTCAAAATCAGATTAAAAGTAATTATTTTACTATTAGGGGTTGACAATTATTTTCTTTATATGTTTTTTATATTTTTTTGCGGCTATAAGTAGTAGTTTGACAATTTCTCATCTATTGTGATCACCGAATATTAGAATACAGTAATCCACTAAGCCCTTCCGCTGTACTAAATTGTACGATTGGCTTAGGAATAGGTCCATAATTTTATATGGGGCTTATAACTATTTCCCAAAATGAAGACTGCGCTCGTGTATCATAGGTCCAAACTCCCCTAGAAGATGGAGTGGCGTTTCATCTGCCTCCATATACATCTTCTACAGGTTTGTGCATCACTCAATCCTATTGAACATGTGTTTGTTTATTCCATCAACGACCGCGGACACGCCGGCGTTACAGTTAACAATAGATTTCTTAGAAATTTAATTAATTTCTTAGAAATTTACCTGGAGGTGTTAAGCAGCAGTGTCCTGCGAGAACTCTTCCTAATAAGCGTAAGCTTTTCTTATTTAGGGCTAGGTTCATGAAACTTACGTGGGGCCAGTGTAGTGAAAGCACTACAAAAAGAATAAAGCATAAATTTAAATGGCGAAGTATATCCTCGTTTTTAAAAAGCAGAATGTTTATTTGTAATATGAAGTATGAATTTAAAATTATAAACAAATCTTCGTAACTTTTCGAACCTTAAAATAGAGTGAAATAAAATCAATAATTAATTTCATATGTCCCACTAACCTATAAAAACATATCTTTCGAGTATTGTAATATGGCAAACGATGAGTGTTATATCTCAGTTCGGGTATCGCTGAGCTAAATATTTTGGATTCGATTCCTATACGAAGCAATTTCTCAATTTGTAAATAAAAAACATATTTCTTTTCTAAATGTGATGAACAACGACATGATTTATGATTATCATTATAATTAGCCGATAGGAAAGTGCTAATGTGAGGGGGAATATCTGCTGATATAATTAAGAAAATGTACGAGTACAAACTGGTTCGACAACATACAAATAACTAATAATATCCTCGTGTTAGTACTACTATTATTACATTTACATCGTCCGCGTCATGGTATACCCAAGAACACTCTTCCGCCATCACGTCTTTTTCCATACCTAATACTTTTTTAACAGTAAATAAATATAAAAGCCCCACCCATGATAAATTGGCAGTTATGGCAATGTTTCTTATAACAACAATAAAGATAAATTAAGTATTTTAATATTTTTGTAACGACAGGAGTTGCGAAGTTCTTAACTTGCCAACTTGGTCTCTTATAAAAAGTTTTTTTTCAAATTTTCATATCAAAGGCTAATATTGTGTTAAGCTTGGGCAATTTCACTTCGCTGCTTGCTTAAAATATTCTTTGTTAAAGTTTTTTACGACATTAGCGTATTTTTATCTTCCCCTACATACCATGTCTTTATATTCGGCTGAAGAGTGACGGTTGTTCCAGAGCCAAAGTCCGTACTAGTAATTTTACTTTTGCTTCATAGATCCTAATTATTTTCCACTGGGCAATCTGTTTGTAACATATTGCTCAATGTTTATGTTATTTGAAATATAAAATATTTTCCTAATAAAATGACTCATGAACTGATAAAAATCATTTTTCGGATCATTAAAAAAAACAGTGCCATGAAATCAGTTCACTTGTTAAAATAATATTTAAATCAGACACTTGTATCGCTAATATATAGTTTTTTTTTAATATTTATTTGGGATTTGAAAATAAAGCGTTAGCCAAAGTTGAGTAGCCATAATTAAAAGTATTTTTTGTAGATCAAGTGATATTTCTTTTCTCATATAACACCATTTTGAGCTGAATCAAAAATTAAAGAATTATTTGACAACAGTATTTTTTGAACTAAATTAAAAGCAAAATTCTAACTTTTAATATTAGGGGCAATACAATGTAGTGGAGTATCTATTTATTTCTAAAAGAACATGGTAGGTAGATAATAGAACAATCCGTTTATTACATCTTATCCCTGAATTTATTTGTATTACGTTGCCAAAGAAAGACGCTATCACATCTTAGTTCTCGGGCTTTCTATGAGACTACTTCGGAAATATACCTTTATTTATGAAACTATCAATGTCATGTTACTTTAAGTGAATGTGACATTTGGGCCAATGGTTGAGCTCACAGCTTGGATTGGTAAAACTTAATATCGAGTCTTGTTTTATCCTACAGAGTCAAAATGAGGGTAATGAGTTTTGAATGTATGTATGTACATAATATGTTTATATAACATTTGGCATAATCTGCAGAGATTGTTTAGACAGTTTTTGCCGAATCCGCTAAGGTAACTTTTTATTTAAAAAAAAAACCTTAAAACTTAAACTTTACCAGTATATTTTTTTATTGATTTATTTATTATCGATCCAGCTATTTTCAAATGATGCATTTACCAACGAACTGCATTTATTTTTTATTTATATACATAAGATATTTTTTTATTTTATTAAAAATAACATCTGGTAAAAATAGCTCACGTCGAAATATTGTATAACTAGCGACTCACCCTCACTTCGCTCAGGTTCATCCCTAGATATTTCTTAACGCTTAGTATCCTATATATGTAGATTATTTAAAATAAAATCGTGAATTTTTCCGATGTTTTAATAGTTACTCTGCTATTCGGGGTGAAGACAAATCCAATAAATCAAAGATCATAAAAATCGATTCAGCAGTTCTCGAGTTATAAGTGATAACACTTACGTTATAAAACAAACCCGAATTTGTTTTATATATACATATATATGTTATATAGGTATATTATTTTAAATTTTTATGCATTTTTTTTAATTCAAACACCTTTAACACAGAGACATAACTATTTTGCTTTTTAAAATAAAGAAGTACCTATCTTTTTATTCAGTCAGTTTCTAATTTTTTTTTATTAATTTTTTTGTTACTTTAATATATTTCAAGTGTAGTCTGGCGCCAACATTTGTTTTTAGTTTATTGTACCAAATAAACCTACGAATCGTCCTACCACATTTCGGGAATATAGTTGGAGTAAATAAAGTGAAACAAACGCTCTAATAAAACCACAGTTTTTATATTTTCCCCAATCTGACAAGGAATATATAATATAACTAGCGACTCACACTCGCTCCGCTTGGGTTCGTCCCTATTTCATCCGTCATGTCATAGCGTTTAGTACAGATTTTTTAGAGATGAGATATTTTTCTGCAGTAATAAGTATCTTATATGTTGATACGGATAACCAACTGTCATCATACCAAATTTCATCAAAATTAGCCTCCAGTGGTTTTCCCGTGATACGGTTACAGACAGACAGACAGACAAAAATTCTGAAAACTATAAATTCGGCATCAGTATCGATAATATCGTCAATTTCAATAAGATTTAAAAAAAAAATATTTAATGTACAGATTACGCTTAGTTACAATTTTATTATATGTGTAGAATTTCTTCAATCTAATTTGATATAAAATATTTTATAGTTAATGTGGAGCCCGATATTAATCCTTATACATAAAAAGAAGTCACCACCGAACGTCTATTTGTACGTATGTGCGTGTTAATAACTCGAGAAGAACTTTTATTATAGCTTCGGCTTTATAGCTTTTTCTTTTTTTCTTAACCAGTAGTTATATATTTTTATATTAATCGTAATTGAATATATTAATACTGACATTTTTATTATTTTTCTATTTGCTTATTTAATTATGTACAATTAGTAGAAATAAAATCTACAGTATTTTATTTGGCTATATAGTTAAGGAGATAATGAAAATCTTACTAATAAATGTAAAAGTTTAGATGTTTGGATGTTTGTTACTCAATCACGCCAGAAAGGCTGAACGGATCTGGATTAAATTTGGCACAGAGATAGGTTATAGTCTGGAATAGCACAAGGCTTA